TTTTAATGCTTGATTATTGTTGGCCTCTTTAATCATGATCATTAGCCATTTTCTGTCCACAAGGTGTATGTCTAAATGTCTGAACCAGTTCTCCTAGCTTTAAGATTACCTACCCAATGACCATTTGTATATAGGGAGCCTTAGATAGTTATTAAACCTACTCTTAATGATTGCTTGAGTTATTACAGCAAAGACCAATTGTGTTTGAATAAGTTGAGCAAATGAGCATTTGTCTAGACCTAGAACTTGCTTAGTTAAGTAGTTTAGACTTAAGGACACACTTTGATTGAAAGCTTGCCACCTTTAGATTGAAACTTAATCACCTAAATCAAGTACCTAATCCCATGAGTCTTATCTTACTAATTGAGAGAAAGCTGGTTACTTTGTTGCATTTTGTATTGTTCTTGAATCACATCACTTCACTATAGCTTAAGCATAAGTTGTACTTTCTTTGATTCAAAGTGACTTAGAACTTGGATTGACATCTAAAATACTTCTTTGATTTGCATAAGGATTTACTGAAATTCTTCAACCTCTCTTTAATCTCTTTAAACATAAAAACACCAATCTTTATATCAATTTCTCATTTTTTCCTTATGTCTTTCTTACTAATTTATCTTGTTTTTGCAGGTTTTTTCAGATCTGAGTGAGACATCGGAAGACTTACATAAGACTTTTTAGAAGACGTTCAGAAGACTTTCTTGGAAGTCTTCTGGCGTAGTCTTATGTCGTCCGACGTAGTCTGAAGTCTTTTGACATCTTCTCTCATATTAAATGGAGTCCAAGCTTGTCTTTGTAGAGGAATGATCTATGCTAGTTTTGTTTGTGATAAATTGTGTGATTGTATGTGTACATTTTAGTAGTGGTTTTATTTTGTAAATTTGAAGAATTATTAATAAAAAATATGATAAATATGTTTATTGTCCAAAATTAATTGACATTATTAAAGTAAACAAGAGTAGAAAAAAGTATGGTTCTTTGTTTGTAAAATAAGTAATGATGTTTCTCAAGATGTAATATATGTGCTAAAAATTTGTTTTCCACTTTCACAAATCAATGAAATAAAAAACTTCAATGGCTTTCAAATTCAAAAGATAATGACCATTGTGTAGTTCTTCTCATCTTTGGATCTTCTATACTCTGCAAAAAAATATAAGTGTGTAATTATAAACAACTTCTTCTCATTAACTTATAATAGTTGTTCATCACTTTTACTTCTAAAAAGTAAAACCAACAAAGTTTTTTAAGAAGTAAAACCAATAAATTTTATAATTATAAACAACTAAGATATAATGAGTAGGTTAACTCTTCCAACTTCATTTTCATGTACACATTATAATCTTCTTGGAATTATTTAACACTTTTGAAAGTTAAAAAACTTATCTTAAATTACTTAACATTCTTAAAAATACAAGTTTACAAAAACTAACGTGGAAGACTTATGCGAGAAGACTTCTTAATAAATCTTCTCAAATTAGCTAGAAACATTAAAAAACATGAATATTAATAACCTCATAATTATCACCAATAAAGCTATGAGTTTCATTCAAGACCCAAAATATTGTCTAAAACACATGAATTAACTATAAAATCTTAAGAATTCATTTTAAATTTGCAGAAAATGAAAGTTTATCATACATTGTCGTAGAATACTTACCTGAAAGTCTTCCCGGAGAAGACTTTCAAGTAAGTCTTCTGGCGGAAGACTTTCAGGTAATCTGGCGGAAGACTTTCAGGTAAGTCTTTCATTTAGGTCATTTTTGCAATTGAAAATTTGCAAATGAAGACTTTCAGAGACGTATCCTCTATAGGAGACTTCTCTTGAAGTCTTCCTTTGTAAATATTAACTTACTTTTATAATAAAAAATTCTCGAAAACATCCGAGAAGACTTATCTGGAAGTCTTCTCGGATAAACCTGTTAGTTTTGCAATTAACCAATCTATGTCAGAAATTTGACTTTCTACGGAAGACTTCCAGGTAAGTCTTCCGCCGGAAGATTTACCTGAAAATATTCTCACCTTTACATTAAGTCTACTCGCTATCGCTGTAAGTCTTCGTAGGTTACTTTTGCAATTGACTATATTTGACTTTTGTTGAGAAGACTTTCATGTAAGTCTTCCGCCAGAAGACTTTTGTTGAGAAGATTTTCAGGTAAGTCTTCCGCCCAAAGATTTACCTGGAAGTCTTGTCAAATTTCTGACACAGATTGGTGAATTGCAAAACTAACCTGAGAAGACTTCCTCGATTTTTTTTGGGTCAACAAAGAAAAGTTGGGAAACTTCAACGACAGCTTTCTCTAAAACACACAAAAAGTCAATTGCAAAACCAACTTGTTCTTTGACCAGAAGACTTATGTGGAAGTCTTCTTGACTGGGAAGACTTACGAAGACTTACGAAGACTTACACTTAAGTCTTCTAGCGAACAAATCTGAGAAAAAATCAGTTCATACCTTCAACAACCACTGAGAGATCTTGTTTAGTTCTCCAAGCACACACGACTTCACCAGAACGGCTACTCAATGGTTAATAACCAGAAATCGTGAGTTTGAATGGCTATATGACCCTTAAAAACTTTAGATTCAAAAAGCTTGGATTTCTTTGGGTGAATATAGATAGAAAGTGATAGAGATGTGTTTTTTAGGGCATAAGATATAAGAATGAATGAGTAAATTTCATTTTTTATATGCTTAACAGCTTCATTTTGATTGTTCATGATTGTTGGGTAAATTGATGGCAATGGTATTTTCATGATTAATTGATGAAGATGAGGATGAAAGAGTAAAAAAATCATTGTCAAAAATATAAAAAATAAAAAAAATGACATTTTTCGTGAATAATCAGAACTTTTGTGGTGGATTAAGCACATGAAATGTCCAAAAAAAAAGAAGATTAGTTTGGTATTTGATTTGGAGTTTTGAGTCTCTTTTGGAAAAACCCTTATTTTCAGTATACAAATATTTTTATTAGTAAAATATACTTGTACAATTATGTTTAGATGCAATTTCATCATTCTGCAGTTACCAATAAAAACTTTAGTTTTACATGGTTAATAGAGAAAAAAGCTTTAGTTTGACACGAAGTCATTTAATTGCATTTATGTCTTTACTCTTATTTTAAGTTTTTAGCATTTGGGACGATTTGGTTTATCTATTCACTTTATTTACTTACTTTTTCAGATTGAATTTGGTTAACGGTTGATTCGTCCAAACTCTATAAGCAAGGCCGGCCTATACCAACCAAAAGCCCCATTCAAAAAATGGGTCCTTTTCATTTGTAAAAAAACAATAATTTAGATTTAATCTTAAAATGGCTACAAAATTTTTTGGACCTGAAGTAATGGCTTCCTTTACATGTGTCCTGGACCGGACCTGTCTATAAGTAAAGGTTTTTCTGGCTCGCATATAATATTTAATCAGAGCCTTTCAACAATCAACACTACCTCTCTCTATCTTCTCGATCATACGCAATTATGCATCATCTTTATCGTTATTTGCCTCCTCTTTACAAAAACATTTTTTGGTAAAATCTTTACTAATACATTTAGTGTCACTTATGACTAAGGGTGTCAAAATGAGTTAACCCAACCCATAAGCCAACTGGATCAATTGTTAATGGGTCATGTATCAACCCAATCCATTTATTAAATGAGTTGGATTAACCTATGATACATTAAATTACATGGATCAGATGAGTTATTGGTTAACTCTTTAACCTAATATCTTTATAATGAATCATTTTTATGAGTGGTAGTTTAGTGGTAATTGTCTTATAAATAATTGTTGAGATGTTTGGGGAATTGTGAAAATATCAATTCTAAACTCTAAACGGTTTAGGGTTTAGGCTAAACCCTAAAACATCAACTCAAAATCCTAAACCTTCAACTCTGAATCCTAAACCCTAAATTGTAAACTCTAAACCATATATTTTTGAAATTCGAATCCTAAACCCTAAAACATCAACTCTAAACCCTGAACCTTCAACTCTAAACCCTAAATCCTAAACCCTAAACCATGTATTTTGGAAATTCGAATCCTAAACCCTAAAAAATCAATTCTAAACCTTAAAACATAAACTCTAAACCTTAAACCTTCAACTCTAAACCCTAAATCCTCAACCCTAAACTATATATTTTTTTGAAATTTGAATCTTAAACCCTAAAACATTAATTCTAAATCCTAAACCCTAAAACATCAACTCTAAACCCTAAACCTTCAACTCTAAACCCTAAAACCTAAACCTTAAACCATATATTTTTGCAATTTGAATCCTAAACCCTAAAACCCTAAAATCTTGGCTTTTAGGGTTTAGAATTGTGAAGTAGATAAAGTTTAGGGTTTAGAATTGAGGGTTTAGAGTTTAGAGTCGAATGTTTAGGGTTTAGGTTTTAGGGTTTAGGATTTAAATTTCAAAAATATATAGTTTAGGGTTTAGGATTTAGGGTTTAGAGTTGAAATGAGTAATGAATACTAAGTAGCGAGGCAAGTATTGAAAAATAAAATGATATTTGATATGCCTTACCTTTACTAATAATATAATTTGTTGATTTATTACTCAACTTGGCAACATCAAGTACTTGGATTTTCAAGACGAGTACGAGTCAAGTAACGGATATACAGTGACTATCGACTAATGATGCCCAGCTCTACTAATGAGAAACCATCCCTTATTAGAATTAGTTTTAGAACTAAAATAAATGATTTGTTAATAGGGACCCTTGTTAACATGGAATGGCCTTTTTCGATGTAAGAAAAATGACAATTTGTTAATACTACATAGTTAAACTACCAATGGTAGAGAATGTATATTTATACTTTTAGTATATTCTAATTTAAAATATATAAAAAGGAAAAAGACAACTTTGTTCCTTTTGTTCTAGTGTTCATCACTTCCTCTGTGTGAGCGATCTGAAATTCTCAACTAATACAATAAACAAATACATAGCCGTTGGCTTTTAAGTCAACTTTGGCTAGACTAAGCAGGAGACCAAAGACTCTAGAGGATGGAGACGAATGGTATTGATGATAATCAAACGGCCCTGATCTTCCTCGGAACTGGCTGCTCCGGTGCAGTTCCCGATTTTCGATGCTTACTCCAGCCATCAGATCCTCCTTGCCATGTCTGTTCTCAGTCCCTCTCTTTATTACCTCACCTTAATCCTAATTACAGGTAAATCTTGTCTCTTTCTGACATCAGTTGTCACTTTGTGTGTTTGGCTTGTTGTTGTCCGTAAAGACCCTTTTGAAATTTTGTCGGAAAAGTTGACATCTTTTGATCTCCCTGTCCGAAAAAAATCTTGTCTTTCTTCTTGGTGGATCTAAAACACCCTTTTGATCTTCTTTGATCAGTTCTTGAATCTTGATACTCTGTAACTTTGGCAGATGCAATACATCGCTCTTGATTGATTATTGCTGCGAGGAAGAAGATGGTAGACATTATTACATAATCATAGATGTTGGCAAGAGTTTTAGAGAGCAAGTCCTTCGTTGGTTTACGTGCTACAAGATCCCACGAATTGATTCCGTTAAGCCCTTATTGAATTCTTACATCTTTTGTCCAAAACATTTAAATTCTAACTTCTACTAATTAATGATATTTTTTTACTTTATGTTGTAGATCATTCTAACTCATGAGCACGCAGACGCAATTCATGGCCTAGATGATATTCGATCCCTTCAACCACGTGGTTTAGCTATTGACACCAAACCACTTCCTGTCTTTTTATCTCAGTTTACAATGGAAAGGTAAAAGAAGCTTTTGGTTTCTCTTTCCGTTTTTAGTAAGTATTCTCTGATGAGACTATAAAAGGCATTTTTTGTGCAGCATTTCTACGAGGTTTCCTTATTTGGTTGAAAAGAAGGTTAAGCAAGTACCTAGACGGGTTTCACAGCTTGATTGGAGAATCATCGAAGAGAACTGTGACAAACCATTCACTGCCTCAGGCTTATCTTTCACTCCTCTTCCAGTTAAATTTCTTTTGAGTAAATAAAAATAGTATGATTCTTCCATGAGATTTTGAACCCTTTATGTTTTGCTATAGGTGATGCATGGAGAGGATTACGTTGCTTTAGGTTTCCTCTTTGGTCATAAAAGTAAAGTGGCTTATATATCAGATGTATCACGTATCCCACCTACTACAGAGTATGGTATGAGCTAATAATCATTTGGGATCTCACCAGTTAGCATTGTGTCTATGCTTGATCTTGTTATATATGAATCTTTGAATATGCAGCCATTTCTAAAGCTGGAGCTGGACAATTAGATCTTCTTATCCTGGATACAAATATACCATTTAAGGTAATATTTTGCTACTTATCTTTTTGTTCATGAAAACTCTTTTTTTGTTGCTGACCAACTCTTTTGACAATAGAGAGGACTACAACCTACACACATATGTTTTCCTGAGGTTAGTTCCATTTGTCAAATAATAATTGACTACTCTGTACCTTTTTGAAGATAAGTTTTATTAATCTTTTTCAGGCTCTTGAGATTATAAAGAGGCTCTGTCCAAAGAGAGCGCTTTTAACGGGAATGACACACGATTTTGATCACCATGAATACAATGAGATGCTTGCAGAATGGTCTCTAAGGTACGCAATGAAAAAAAAAAAGTGTTGTATCATTTTTGTATTTCCACATAGATGAAAGGTAATGGACTATATATGTACATTTTCTAGGGAAGGAATCCATGTACAGCTTGCTCATGATGGATTAAGGCTTCCAATAAACTTATGAAATGGAGAGACTAGTCTCATGATTCTTGTTACCAATTGTATGATGGAAAAATCTGAATATTGATACAGAAATAAAATCTCTTCTTATTTACTTTATTTGGGAATGGTTGGAAATCTTTAGACCAATATCTTGAAACAACTTCTCTAGTTCTGAAATCTCCTTCTCAAGATCCACTTCATCTTTTCTTGTGACATTCTCATGCAATTCCATTAGCCTCTGAGCCCCAGCATTCACTTCTTCTGCAGAATCTTTAAGAACTTGTCTCATCGATCCATTTTCCTCTTGAACTTCTTTGTATCTCCTTTTAAGAGATCTGTATCCGTCAATAGACTTGAGAAGCTGTTCAGACAACTCTTTGTTTCTTCCCTGAAGAGGCATGTCTTTGTCTCCTCCTCCTCCTCCATCACCATCTTCTTTCTTGTGCTCTACCGCGCAGTTCTGAACTTTCTTAAGTAATTTCTCATTTTGAGCCTTGAGATCACTTATAAGCTCCTCCATTTCGGTCAATTCATAAGCTTTCCTCGAAAGCTCGATAGCCATTATCTCTTTCTCCTTGCCTAAACTTGAACACATCATCTGAAGACTCTTTCTTGCAGCCATGCTCGCGGTTAGGTCTTTTCTCAGCTTCTGAACATCGTCAAGATCGTTTAAAGGCGGCTTTGTGGGACTCTTGTTGGGATCTTGCCTCGGTTTCAGTTCTGTATTGCATCTTCTAAGCTCCTTTTTCCCTGATGATGATGATGATTGAGCTTTCAAGATCCGTGTCTTTAAATCGTCGAGTATCGCCATCATTGTGGTGACTCTCTGTGCTTTCCATTCATCTCGTTGCTTTGAGTTCGCTTCGTTGTGATCTTGAACGAGTTTCAGGAGTAGCTTAACATTCGTAGAGATGCCTTCACATACCCGCAAAGAAACACATTTAACCAACTTCTTGTCACGCAAGTCAAAGATTTTGTTTTCTTCCTTAATATTCGTAAAGAACTAAAGATGAATTCACAGAGACGCAAAGAAACATATTTTACAAATTTCTTGTCACGCAGATCAACTTATTTTTTTCTTGGCCAAAACAGAAAAGCAAAAAGCAATGTTTAAAAATCACTAGCCCGAAATAGAGATGTTTAAATGGATTACCCGCCCAAAAGAAATTTTATTGAAATTAGTAGTTTTTGTGAAGATAAATCGTTTTGGTTATAACCATTTGTCGTCTATACTCTACCCTAGGCGCTGCGATTTTAGAATATTGAGAAAACTATAGAAATCAAGTCTAAAAGTTGGTCTTTGTTAACGTGTTAAATCAATTTTGAAAAAAAATCAAGAAAAGGAACTCTTTTATTTATTTTTTGGTAAAAAATGTTACAAGATAAAGAACTAGAAGATTATTAGATGGAACGTTATATAATTGATATTACCTTCTAAACCAGAAGTTTCATGAGATTGGTGCTCTGTGGTTCTTGTTGGGGAGGTAACAGATCCAGAATCAGAAGGAACTAAATCCGGAGAAGAAAATGCTCGGAGCCGGCTCATGTTTCTCCGTTTGAGACGCCGTCTGGAAAGATCGATCAGACAAAAAGTGATGAACAAAGGAACATGTTGGAGATTTGGACAATAACAGATTATGGTTGTTGCAATGTTGTATGGCGTAATTAGTGGAGAATCATCTTGTCTTATCTGATCCTTTTGGCTTGGCTTTTTCCAACTAATTTTACCTGTCTTACCTGAATTCACGCTCTATTTATTTTTCATTTTCTATTAAAAACATAGAATGGTAACTAGCCTTAACAATTTATTCGATTATTGGCTTCTCTAATGTGACAATTTATAATTCTAAATGTATTTGTAACATTCCGATTCAAGGTGGTGTATCGGAAAGGTTAAAGAAAAAAACTGATTTTAGTTGTGGAGAAAAAGTGTTTGAAGAGTGAGTTAAACTACAGACCGTGATTGTAAAATCAATAAACAAAACTTCCGTTTTTTCAAAAGGGGAAATTGTTTTTTAGACCAAATCCATAAGGATATTATCCCTTTAAGCTAAATTATATTTTATGCCATTTGTGATTATAATTTCCTTTATTATTTTTGAAAATTAATTAAATAAAAAGATTTATGAACGATTTTTTTAAAAATAATATCCAATGATGAAATACCTATATCAATAAATCTTTAACTTTATAGTTTAAAAATGTTTAAATTATATTTTTCCTATTTCGTCCTACAGATAGTAGAATCCGTGTACTACTGAGTGGAATACAAAATTCACTTTTTTTCATTATTTCTACTATATTCAGAACACGTGTTGTACGGAACCAACAGTAATCTAAAATATTTTGGAATACACATACCGTGTTTAACATATACTTCTAACATAAGTAGAAATCGGAATCTACATTCTTACTACGTTCTAATACCTGTAGAAACTGATTTCAAACATGTTTACTCATATCTACTATTAGTAGAATACATATTCTACGGATAAGTATAATCTGATCCGAATATATAAGAAGAGAATATTTCTAAATATTCAATTTCCATATTTTTAAATTTGAATTTAAAAAAAAAAAGGAAAAACGTTTTTCAAAAAAGGAAAAATCGTGCAAAATCTATTCCCATGGTTCTTCTCACGTCTCTTCTCCATTCTTGCCAATAATTTGACAAATTTTTACATTGTTTATACAATGATTCATGTATATGCTTCATGTGGAGTTTGAGAATCAGTTGTATCTTTCAGGTTGGAGGTTTTTTGTTGATGAAAAGAAAGGGGGAAGGTTACTTGATTTGGAATTGAAGTCTTCTCTGGAAGAGTTACAGAAAGCTGTTATAAAGGATTTTGGTTTCGAAGATACGGATGCTCATTTCGAGTTAAGTGACATACCTAGTGGGTTGATCAACACATCAGAATGTCCACCCATAATCATTGGAAACTCGCGCCAAGTGCAAAATTTTCTAGGGTTTCGTAAGAAGCATCAGACAACTCAGGTTGTGTGTTACCTATAAACCGAAGCAAGGGAATCCAGATAAGGTCGACACTGATTTTAATAACATGCCAACTGATTCACGTACTGCTAAAGAGGAGGAGGGAAATCTTTGCGCCAATGGAGGCGTTTTAAGTAATATTAAAGGAGCTAAGCATAACGACAAGAGAAAAGAAAAGATGGAGCATTGCGAGACTGATGGAGATGATTATGATGCTGACAAGTATCATGTGAAAAAAAAGGAAAGATGATGCAATACAATGTTGGTGGAGATGTTGATGCTGCTGACACCATCTTCTCTGAAATAGAAAATAGAGAACATTTATCAAAGAGTTATGTGCTTTAGTTGGTTAAGGAAGGAGATCTTTTCCTGAACAGAGCAGAATTGAAGGCAAGGTTTGAGCTATGTGTAATGAAGCATAACTTCGACTACAGAGTTACCAAATCTAACAAATCAGTTTGGTGTATTAGATGCGCTGATAAGGTTTCCAATTGGGGTGTTCGAGCTGCTAGTATGAACGGCTCTACATTTTTTATTATTAAGAAGTATGTTGGTACACATTCTTGCGCACCTTCAAGCAAAAGTAGAGCCGGTAAGACAGCTTCGGCGAAAACGATAGGTGGTCTGATCATGCATAAATATGAAGGAGTCAAAGAAGGCCCTAAAGCAAAAGATATTGTTAAGATTATGTGTAATGATTATGGATGTGAGATCTCTGAATCCTTAGTTGGGATTCCCGTGAATTTGCAGTCAGCGCCATAAGAGGTATTCCAGAGCTAAGCTATGGAAAAGTACCGAAGTATTTGCACATGCTGAGAGAGGTAATCCGGATACACATTCCTCTTATGAGACTGACATCAATGGTAGATTTCGCTATCTTTTTATAGCATTTGATCAATCTATTAGAGGCTTTAACAAAGTCATGAGGCGTGTTATTGTTGTTGATGGAACATTCTTGAAGAATAAATTCAAAGGAGTGCTACTGGTTGTAACTGATTTAGATGGAAATTCAAATTTGTATCCTATTGCTTTTGGGGTTGTAGACTCTGAGAATGATCATGCTTGGGAATGGTTTATAAGACAATTGAAAGAAATTGTTGCTGATGATATGGGGTTGGCTTTTATTTCAGACAGACAAATGTCTATAGTGAGGGCAATTGAGAACGTGTATCCGCTAACTACACTGGGATTTGTATTCATCACTTGTTGAACAATGTGGTTCAAATTTCAGTGGGAGGGGGTTAGCTGGATTGGTTGCTAAGGCTTCAAAGGTTTACAGAGTGGCTGATTTCAAGAAGATATTTTCTCATATTTGCAATATCAATCCATTAATAGGAATTTATCTAATGCGAGCGGATGTTCGAAAGTGGGCTAGATGTCAATTTATTGGATACATGTATGACATTAGGACAACCAATCCTGCTGAATCTATAGATTCTGCCTTGCGCACTCCAAGAGAGTTTCCAGTAATTCCTTTGTTGAACAGCATTCGAGAAATATTGACACGGTGGTTCTTGAAGCGTGAGAGAAAGATTTCAAAGCATACGCATCCTTTGACCATAAATGTGGAGGAAAAGATTGATAGGAGAATCAGGAAAGGTAAAACTTTTGTAGTTTACCCTATAAATGACTATCAGTTCCTTGTTAAGGGTGATACAATTGACTGCTTTGTTGATTTGGATACTCGGATGTGTTCTTGTGGGAAGTACAACCTCTTGAAAATTCTTTGTAGACACGCGATAAAAGCCGGTTTCTATGTTGGCAAAAAACCACACGTGTTGACTGATTTTATGTACACCACGGAAGCTTGGAGAGAAGCTTATCAAGAAAGCATAAATCTCATTGCTGTTCCTGAAGATGCTTGGTGTGTCCCTGAAGATGTGGACAAATCTGGAGTGTTACCACCTGAGACAAGAAGGTCTCTTGGAAGAAACATAAAAAAAAAAGATATGAAACTGTTGAAGACAAAATTCGATCATCACAAGGATCACAAGGAGGTAAGTTTCGCAGGTGTAGTAGGTGTGGTTTTGGTGGCCACAACAGAGCAACTTGCAAGATGCCAATATAGTCGATTTGTTTGTTGTGTTTTCGCAACTTTGGTTCAGATTTTCAGACTTTATTTGGTTAATTTTTAGTAACATTGTTTCAATTTGACAGAAGTTTGTTTTATGTTTTTCAGCATACAAGAAAGATTTCTAGTAGATCATCGGTTTTAGGTTCAAAGTAAAATTTGTTAATATCTTATGTTGTTGATATGATATATCGACTAGAATTTGACTGTAAACTCAATAGTTTTGACAAGGAAAAATGATTTCATTCATAAGAAAACCTTGGTTACATAAACATTCAGTCATTTCTGGCAACATAATTTTTGAAATAGCCAAATAATAGATCCTAAACAACCCACTTCGTTTGTTCTGCTTCAGAACTTCTTCATCTACCATCTTCTTCAAACTCTTTTTCAGATCTCCAATCTCCTCTGCGCTTCTCCTTTGCTGAAGATCTACTCTTCGAATCTCATCAAGTAAAGCTTCATCACACCACTTAAATAAATGTGTTCTGTCTTTCGCTACATGAAATCAATTGTAGAACCACTATGATAATGGTGAAAACAAAATCGAATCAAGTATAGAACCAAAAAAATTAAGAATTGAAACCTATAATCCAATCTCGCATCTGTTGAATCTTCTGTATGGGTTCTCATTTGTTTTTGAGTAGAAGATCACAACCCTATGTCCACACCAGCATCGATTTGGTACTCCTGCCCAGAATTGCCTCTGTGTATTCATGTTTGAGAGAAATAGTTTGGAGAGAAAGAGGATGCAGAAAATGATTTGAGACGGTTCTCATTCCATTTTTTGAAACTTAAATATGTAGGGTTTTATGTTCAAGACGGTTCTCATTCGTGTTAGTTGTGGTTTAGGGTATAATTTTTCATTTATGGTATACGATCTACATTAAACTCAATCTTGTCGCAAGTGAATCTCATTTACTTGTTTATGTTTAGCCTATTGTGGTTTAAGGTATAAGATTTCATTTACTTGTTTATCTTTTCATTTAGTCTATATGTTTAGCCTATTGTGGTTTAGGGTATAAGATTTTATTTGTAGTTTAGAGTATAAGTTTTCATTTGTGGTTTAGAGTATAAGTTTTAATTTGTGGTTTAGCATCTAAGCTAATCTCACTCTTGTCGCAAGTAAAAAAAGATGTTTCATTCAATCACGAAAAAACCATGTGTTATACAATAGCATAAACATCCTAAAAAACTCCAAACACTTGATCATGGAATGTCGATACATTCTTTACTCTTATACGTGGAAGGTTCACACTTCGACATCCTCTAACATCTCTGGATCATTACCTGCTTCCCAGAGATCCCAAAAAATTCTTATTCGAGCTTTCTTGATGTTATCATCATCCATCGGTGATAAATCCAACCCAAGCGCATGGCATTCTATGTGTTTTACAGTGTATACATCGCAATGACAAGCACGTTGGTTGAGATTATGCATAGGGGTATAGCTAACAGTGTACGGACTTATGGTAAGATGCTT